ATTGTAGCAGTGCATCGATACACAATTTATATTCAAAAATTTCACTGTTCATGGTACTGTTCACGGTATTGTTCATAGCGTATAGTATTGTTCACAAATATGTATTTTTTCTTAAATTTTTATAATGAAGCATAATTTAATAGTATTTATTGTATTTTCTTAATATAAGTTCAAATTTCCAGTTATTTTGTAAAGAAATTGTTTTAAAAAGTCAATGTGATATCTCAAACTCGTATCTGGGTCGGGTACGGGTTGGGGTGTTACACTTACCTAGTAAACTATTTCCAAAATTTATAAGTCCTTCGGGCCATCAATAAGCCTTTCGAGCATGATGCTTGAATCCTTCAAGTATCTCTTTTCCAAGATTTGATATTCCCTTCAGAGTAAATGGAACAAGTCTGCCCCGATTCAATTGATCAACTCCCTCAGATCTGATTTTCCCTTGAGAGTAAGCGGAACAGGTCTCTCTTTTCCAAGATTTGATAATCCCTTCAGAGTAAGTGGAACAAGTATGCCCCGATTCAATGGATCAACTCCCCCAGATCTGATTTTCCCTTCAGAGTAAGCGGATCAGGTCTCTTTTTTCCAAGATTTGATATTCCCTTCAAAGTATGTGGAACAAGTCTACCCCGATTCAATGGGTGACTCCCCCAGATCTGATTTTCCCTTCAGAGTAAGCGGAATAGGTCTCTCTTTTCCAAGATTTGATATTCTTTCCAGAGTAAATGGAGCAAGTCTGCCCCGATTCAATGAATCAACTCCCCTAGATCTAATATTCCCTTCAGAGTAAGCGAAACATGTCTCTCTTTTCTAAGATTTGGTATTCCCTTTAGAGTAAGTGGAACAAGTCTGCCCCGATTCAATAGATCAAATCCCCCAATATCTGATATTCCCTTCAGAGTAAGCGGAACATATCCCTCTTTTCCAAGATTTGATATTCCCTGAGTGACAGTGGAACAAGTCTACCCTGATTCAATTTTCCCTGAGTGACGACGGAATGTATCAACCTCCTCCAAATTTGATATTCCCTTAAGAAGAAGCGGAATAGATCCTTCTTTTCTAAGATTTAATATTCCCTGAGTGACAGCGGAACAAGTCTATCCCGATTCAATCTTCCTTGAGTGATAGCGGAATGGATCAACATCCCCAGATCTGATATTCCCTGAGTGAAAACGGATCATATCCCTTATTATATTTCAAACCATGAAATTGACCGGACGAAAAACGCATTGTCTCTTGTCTTTTCCTTATTCTTGTTGACAAAAAATTGGACAAAGAAGGGCAGCTGTCGATACTCGTTTTTCCATCATATTATTATTATATTATTATTATTAATATTATTATTATTATTATTTAAAAATACTAACATAATATTTTATTATTATTATTATTATTTACAGATCCAACAAACCCAGACCTAAATACAAGCAGCCACCCAAAATCGGAGGCCCAACAGAAGTACTATGGGCCCAGAACCGATCCAGGCTCAAGAAGGAACCCAACAAACCTTAAACCCATTTAGGGTTATTACTAGGGTTTCCCAAGCACCTTCAGCCTCCTCTTTGCTCAACCTTCGGATCTAGACCCATCCAACGGTCCAGATCGAGCCCTACTGCCAGCCATTATCCAACCACTGCCACTACGGTCCACTGCCGGCCATCCCACGTGAAGCAACATCATCATCCCTACAACACCAATTTGTCAACCAATATCAATGTTTTACTATATTTAGAAATACAAAACGGGTATAAAACCCAACAAAAACAATGTAAACAGGGGTTCTTCCCTTTGAGATTCAAAAGGTAATAAAAGAGCAAAGATTCAAAATTTCTTTGAGGTATTTTTTTACTTATTTAAAACAAAATAAATAAAATATAAAACATTGCATGTAAATAAAAATGAGAGCCTAGGAGATCTATTAACTTACCTGAGTCGGAGGGTTTTCGCAGCGACCGGAGGTCCAAGAAGCCGAAAGGTTGGGGGACCTTTGGGGATATTTAGGTTCGTTTTAGCCTAAGGTAGGGTCCTATGGCTGTAGATCTAGACAAGAGGGTGAGTTTGGGAATTTTTACCACCGCATGCGGTGACTAGAGCGGCGACCGGACGAAGGCCGGTGTGGTTCGTCATGGCTGGTAGTAGGTCGGCCGAACCTTGTTGGGAGAGTTTTCTCTCTCCCTCTCTCCCCATTTTTTTAAGTTTGGTTAAAAATGAGGAAAAAAAATAAAAGATTAATATATATAGGAATAATTTCGGGGTTAATTGCATTTTAAATCTCCTTATTTTATGTGTGTTTTACAAAAAGGACATTTGTAGGGACCGAAAATGCTAGTTATCCATTTTACGTGTGCCTTAATTTTTTGGTTTAATCACAGTTTAGTCTTTATAACTTTAGTGTGTTTTTACATAATGGTCACCGAGGGGGACCATTTTCATAATTTGCTCATTTATATTCATGCTTTGCAATATTTGGTATAATCTTAATTTAGTCCCTGTATTTATTTTTTTATAATGTTTTTTGCATGTTTATTTTCATTTTTACCATGTATATTTGGATGTTTCCTTTATTTATTAATATATATGTACCGATTTGGCTAATTTATCTTTGCACCTCTTGAATTTGTAGATAGAAATAAAATTGGAATTTCATCTCTTAGATCTTAATATTTTCTATATATATACTTAAATATTTGTGCTAATAACATCAATTACACATCAGTTTATTATTGAATATATTCTTTATGGTATATAAAACCGTTGACATACGTTTCTATTCTTTGAATATTAAATTTTATTATATATTTATTTTACTATGTGAGATTACTTACATAGATTTGTATACATTTAAGTTCGGTGTTATGTGATTATAGTTAATTATAATATTAAATGTGTTTATATATGGCTTTGTGTACTTTACGTATATATGGTATATTTATATATGTTGGTGTATCCCATAGATGGATTTTGTAATTTATGAGAGGTTGTGACCTGTACGTATGCATTATTCTAATTATGGTAATATGTAAATATACATACTAAACACGTAAACATGTTTTTTTTTGGTAGCTTTACATTAAATATGTAATTAACAAATAGGCTCAATTTCCATCCATTTTAGAATCATGTTAACATTTACTCTCATTTCCTTTAATATATGTCCATTAAAAAATTATTCTCCATATTTACGTGAATATTTACTTCATTATGATATATAACATTAATTCCATAGTATATATATATATATATATATATATATATATATGTTTATACCGTATATATGTTTCTATTAATTGCATAGAATTAAAGTTTTCTTATATTGTTTTATATGTAAGTTATTTGTTCCTTCATGTATATATATTTGAAGCATTAATTCATAAATAGATTTTGACATAAACACTACTTGACTCGAATCGAAATAAATTGACTAAGGGTAATATTCGATCATTTTAATATTGTCATAAAGTGACTGTCTTAACGTATAAGAAAGTTACTTTCGATAATTTTAAAATGAAAGTCTATTCCGCTAAATGACACCAATTAAATCGAATCCATTTTTAAAATTCAAGAGTTGAGGATAAGATTGTATTCTTTTAATTAAATTCATTGAGAAAAGACTGTTAGATCGAATCTAAGGTATTGTCTCGATAAATTTAATTAATTGAATATTCTTATTCTCATTAAATATTGGTAAAATAAATAAATAATTTTATTTGTTTGACGTTTGCCTTTTGCTTTATTTTTGCATGTGCTTGCCAATAAATTTTCAAAATAATAACATTCGAACCGACATTTAAAATAGTATTATCTTCTCATTTCTAAATGATTGCTCTAACGTATGAGAGGTTATTTATTATCGATTGGAAATCATTAGATATTATTGTTTTTAATCGAATCGTTGTTGAACTTTAGAATGAAATTTTAATATTTCATTATTTCGATTGGAGTAAGAATCGATTGTTTCAAGGTATAACAGTTCAATTCTCCTCGATAAAAAATAATTAAATATTATTATCTTTAATCCGAAATTTCAAATAATATTATTTTAGGGGATCTTAAATTAAATTAGACTTGAACTTGTACATTTTATTGCAAAGGCAATTAATTAATCGACTAGGTACCGATTTAGGGTGTTGTGGGGGTGTTAATCTTTCCCCATACGTAACCGACTCCCGAACTCAAAATTTTGGTAACGCAAACCCTAAATTTGTCATTTTAATTAAAATTAATATTTTATTAAAATGTCAAATACGTTTTGGGTGTCCAATCACACCCTAATCAAAGATTGGTGGCTACTTCGTGAACCATGTTTTTATCAAAACCGATCGTTCCAAAGATCATTTTCGAAGCGGTACCCCCTTTCCCGTAGGGAAAAGACTGTTTCGACAAATAGGTTAATGTTCAATTGAGATTGACATCATTTTTTTAACAGAAAAAAACGAGTTTGGAAATTTGGAGCATATGGATAGTCAAATGACTATTTTGTAGCTTTTAATAATTGTAGGACTCAACAAAGTAACACCTTATAGTTGGGTACTCGACAAAGTAACATCCTATAGTCAAAATACTATTTACCTACTTTACCCTATAAATTAATAAAAGTTATATGATTTTGCCTTCTACGCTATGTGCCTATTAGTTTAGTTTCTTGCCTTGTATTTTCTAATTAGTGGACTTTCGACAACCCTAAAAGTCCACATTATTTTACGTGAGGACACGATCAACGATTTCAATTGTTGAAATATTGAATTAACTGTTTAATTAAGCAAAGTAAAAACACTATCTTGATTAAATTTAGTCTTACACGTGGACTAATGAAAATCATGGGGCATGCATAGAGGTAGGTAAGAGGGGCAGAGGATTTTGGTTCACTTGGAGATAGCCTGAGTTTATCCCAATGCAGCCAGCCGCCAGTCCCCTCAATATATCTATATATACACCATTGAACCTTATGAAGAGATGAATCAATACCATCTAAATATCTCAACATTTTTCAGGAAAAAAAAATGAAAGCGTCAATTTCCACCATTTCCATTGTTTTGATGTTCGTTTTGTTACCAATTTCATTGGCGAAATGTAACGCGTCTCTTGATTTTGATAGTTTTCTTGGATGTTTCCGACACATTCCCACCCCTTTTTCGATTGCAGATGCCATATTAACGCCCAACAATTTATCTTTCGAAACTATATACCAGCAACGAGCTAATAACCTTCGAGTCGCCTTGTCTACAACCTCAAGACCTGCGGCCATTATAACCGCGCTGCATCCATCCCATGCTCAAGCCACCGTCTTTTGCGCCAAGCGTCATGGCTTTCAAGTAAGGATTCGGAGTGGTGGCCATGATTTCGAGGGACTTTCGTACACTTCCAGCGTCCCATTTGTCATTCTCGACATGTTCAATCTCCATTCGATCAATATCGATATGGAGAGTGAGACGGCATGGGTTCAGGCTGGGGCCACAACCGGTGAACTTTATTACAGAATTGCCGAGAAAAGCAATGTCCATGGGTTCCCATCTGGTGTAGGCACCACTGTCGGAATTGGTGGACACTTTAGTGGAGGTGGCTATGGGTTTCTTATGAGAAAATACGGACTCTCCATCGATAATGTCATCGACGCACAGTTAATCGATGCCAATGGTAGGATCCTTAACCGTGAAGCAATGGGAGAAGATGTGTTTTGGGCGATCAGAGGAGGTGGAGCAACCAGCTTTGGGATCATCCTTTCATGGAGGGTCAAGCTGGTTCGTGTTCCACCTAGGATTACAGTATTCACAGTGCAAAGGACATTGGAACAAGGCGCAACGGAGCTTGTTTGTCGTTGGCAACAAGTTGCACGAAAATTATCAAAAGATCTCTTTATTAGACTGCAGCCTGAGCCTATAAACAATGGCGGCAACAATAGAACCGTTAGCGTTTCATTCATCGGCCATTTCCTAGGGCAAACTGATGAACTTATACAATTGATGAACGCAGACTTTCCCGAATTGGATTTACAACGAAGTGATTGTTTAGAGATGAGTTGGGTCGAATCAGTTTTATACTGGGCAGGTTTTCCGAACGGAACCACAATCGATGAGTTGCTCAATAGAGTGCAGGTTTACCGATTTTTTTCCAAGAGCAAGTCGGATTATTTCAAAGCAGTGATTCCTAAACAAGGGTTGGAGACGTTATGGGAGGCATTGATGGACACTGGAGATATTTCCGTCCAAATGAACCCTTACGGCGGGAGAATGGAAGAGATTTCGGACACAGAAACTGCTTTTGCGCACCGTGGCGGAAACCTTTTCATGGTGCTATATAGTGTGACATGGTCCGAGTCAGATGGAGGAATCAACGCCACTGCACGATACGTCGAGCTATCGAGGAGGTTGTACCGCGCAATGGCGCCGTACGCATCAAGCAACCCGAGGGAAGCATTCCTCAACTACCGAGATCTCGACATCGGTAGCAAAGAAAGTAACGGGACAGATTTAGAGGATGCCAAGGAATATGGGGCAAAATACTTCAAGAACAATTTCATGAGGCTGATGAGTTTGAAAACCAAGATAGACCCCGAAAATTTCTTCAGAAACGAACAAAGCATACCGCCATTGTCAACACGATCAGACCATTGAACAATTGTCTTCTACGACTACCAACAACAATAAACGAAATATCTTCTGGAATTTAAGTACTTGCTATTGTTGCTTGTAATTTAAACACATGGTGTTATTCCATGTATAATAAATAAGAATGTATTTTCATTTCTTTATAATTTGGTCTTTAAAATTCTATTTCACTTTTCAATTCTAAATTAAGATCATGGATCGAACTTCATTTAAATTAAACAAATCAAAATTTTTGAGAAACAAATTTTTAATATTTAAAATGATAAGATAATATTTAAATTATTCTTTTCAGTTATCGTATTTGAAAAAATTTTAAATTTATAATTTAGGGAAATTACAGAAGTGGATTAAGATTTTGTTAGTTATTAAGGATTCAGATTTGCAAACTACATGGAAGATTTGACTAGAGAAGTTGGAAAAACTTTGAATCTAGGCAAAGAATCGGGGATTCAAATTCAAGGGAGTGAAGAAGAAGTGATTCGAGATATTGCTTTATTAGAAGAGTTGAAAAGCGATTCACTGGTTGTTTTGGTAGCAGAAGTGCAAAAGGTGAGCGTTGATTTGAAGAATTTGTCATGGTTTCCAGACGTACAGGTTCGGGTGTTTAATAGCTTCTGCATTTTATAAGTTTTTAAGAGCTTTTAACGTTAATGTGGTTTAAACAAGACACGGAGGAGTTTAAATTGGAAGTCATCATTTGGAAAGTTTGGTTATTGGTATGATGCTGAGTTTTGAGCTCTAGGTCTCTGAAGCACCTCGAAAGACAAGAGGATAGTTACTATATGGGTTACAAGCAAGCTTCATTTCGTGGTTTCCTATGAAAGCTTGTTCCCGAATCCGACAATTCTCTGGTAATTCGCAGATCTAGTAATTGGGCGAAATCAAGGTATGAGATCTGCCTCATTCGAAATTATCGGTGACGACTCCATCATGATTCCAAGTTGAAACGTGAACTCGTGACCACCCGAAGGACTGTTGCGACATTTATGATAAATGATTTTAATGATAAAAGAAATCATATGTTTAGATCATTTAAGTTCAAATAAATTTCTATGTAAACTTATACAAATTTATCTAAATTTAAAATTAAATATAAGATATGTAAAAAATGTAATTTGTGTGTGTATATATATATAAAATAATCAATGTATGCATAATGATTTGATTTATTAATAATATATAAAACACATAAATTAAACCATATGTGTAAAAGGTATTATAAAGTTTTTATTAAATTTAAGAAATTTCAGAACAAAATAATTTCTGTTTGGCCTTGATTCGCCGTCGATCGTGTCGCCATGAGTCTCATCGCTGGCATCATTGTGCTTGTCCCATTTTCGTTGATCGTCTGGTGGTCTCAATGTGTCTATCGTCGTCGACGTAAGCTTTTTTGAAGGAGGAGAAATTTCAAGTTTTTCTAAAACACCATCTCCCTTGGTCTTTTCGAAAAAATGACATTTGTAAGTAATTCCCCGTAATCTAACATACTTTTTTGAATTTTTTGGAATTTTTTTTCAGCGTAGCTAGCCCTACGTGTCGCTGTGTGTGTGGGATTGTTCTGCTGGTTCAGACAATGAATCAATCTGATCTTGAATCGGTCTGACCGAATCGTAGATGCTGACTTTGACCATTGACCGTTAGCCATTGATTACTACCCCAAAAATTTGACTAGTGGCTAAAAGGCAATTTTTTAAAAGTTTAATGCTAAAGTAGAAACTTGGAAAAGTTTATGGACTAAAACCATAATTTTTAAATGATATATATTTTGTCCCCATAAATAAATAGTTCGTCCTTAATAATATTTCCTATATGGAATTCAAATTTCAATCCGGAATTTGTGTAAAGAGCTATTAAACGATAAAATTCGGTAAAATATTCAGATAATCGAATCGAATTAGAAGTTTACAAAACTTTAAAGGATGATAGTATGAAATTAGTGTGGATCAGTGAAACTAAGTAGAATTTCCATGTTAAAGTAAATTAAATTAAAATTTTAGAAAAGTGCAAGGGCCAAGAAAAAATTAATCAGATAAATATTGATACTTATATATGATGATGATGTATGAATGGTGATGAAAGCTTGGTAAAGTGGTAAATATCAAGACTCATTAAGGGTAGAAATGATTTTTTGACTAAAATAAATTTTTAAATTTATTTTAATTAGAAATTTAAAAAGTGTCAAGAGATATTTATCATGAATTGTCTAGAAAAAAAATGGCCTTCTCCCTTTTAAATTGCCGTGGGGTTCATGGAGAGAAGAATAAGGCATGTTTTCTTCTTTTCTTCATTTTAGTCCTTTTTCCTTTGTAGATTAAGTTTTGAAAAGGAAAAATAATCCATACCAAATTATCTTTCATTTGATGATTATATTTAATTTTTTATATGCTTGAATCATTGGATTGATTATTAGAGTGGATAATAAATAAGCTGATTTTTTTATGATTTAAGGATATATTTTTATGTGTTGTCGATATTATAGAATTGTTTCTAAATTTAAATAATGATCAAAATCAACTAAAATTCGCTTATATATTATTCGGCTAGTATGAGAAATTCATGGAAATGAGTTGTTTTAATTATAAGTTGATATGGGATTGAATTGAATTGAATTGAATGGAAATTTTGTTAAAAGGGTGATTTCATGCTTGAATCTAATTGGAAATTTCTTGAAATTTTACTTTATACCATTCGGCCATAGGGAGGAAAATTAGGAAAAATTTTACAAAAATTTTCTTAACGGATATAATGGATTGAAGAATGATGTTACATACTTTGAAATAAGGTTTGGACCATTTTGGAACATTGTAAAGTTATAGGGACCTTATTACAAACTTTGAGGAATTTAAGGATTAAGATGTAAATGATTAAAAGTTGATGAATAGAAGTTGAATATGATGATTGGAATTTTAGGATTGACCTTATGATGTTTAAAATTGGGATCAAATGGTAAAAAGATTATATTGAATAAAATAGAAAAGTTAAGATGAATTTTAAAGAATTTATCCTATGGTTAAAAATTATGGATTTGGAATCGAATTTGGAAAGGTTATAAGAGTAAAAGGACTAAATTGTAGAAATAAAAAAATTAAGGATTTAAGTAGCAAGTGTGCAATTATTTAGATACTGTAGTGAAATTGAATATTAAAATGTTGATTTAATATTGAAATGTTGATTTTGGACTAATTTATAATTTTGTTAAAGTTTAGGAACTAGAATGTAAAATGTTTAAATGGTGAGCTTAAAAATTACATAATAAATATGAATAATCAAATTACTTGAGTAATAAATAATAAAATGGTGATTCTGATATTAAAATACTAATTGAAACTGATTCAGAAATATGTATAAGTCAAATGATCAAATTGAAAAAATAGAGAAATTGTGGGATTAAAATAGAAAGTGAGTGTAAGAACTAAACTATTTAAAGGACACGGAAGATAAATTTGTTAGAGCCAAAGTTAGTTATAGATTTGGTGGAAGAAATTAATATTTAATATACATTAATGATATTTTAAATATATTTATACGAATGTGAATTTATGTTAGTTAAATGTACTAATATGTGATTGAAACAATATATCAATGTGATAATTTTTTTGTGATAATTTTTATATATGAAAAATGTATAAGATTTAAATAAAAGTCCAGTGTATAAGACTTGAGAGTCATTGGTATATGACGTGGAATGATTCTGTATATGCATTTGTGTACATCTGACATGCACTATATGTGCATTCTAGCAGTTTATGTGCGTTTTGACACTATTTATGTATTATGGGTTTCACGATGTTTCGACATTGTGAGATACCATATCAGATTCTGATTCAGTATACTGATGTTGTGTTCTTCAGTACTTATAATTCTATTTAGCACTAAAAGTATTATCTATTACAGACAATGTTTATGTTGCATATAGGGCACCTGTGGTGCATATAGGGCACTAAACGTGCCATATTGATATAATAGTTATACTGCACACGATGTCAAACACTTGTTTTTCGACTCATATACCACGTATTCCCATGATTATACATTGGGCTATAAAATGAAACTAAAAGTTATAGTACAGTAATAGATATAGTACAATGAAAGGAATTGCATTGGAAAGAGGAACAATACAGTGAAAGGGACAATATAAGAAGAAAGGATTGTATAAGTTTAATTATTGTATTACAATAAAGTCTTATATGCAAAGTTTGATTTATATTGAATGATTTATAAATGAAAGACTATCTTGGTTTGGATTGAAATATGAATGATAAGTACATGTGCATAATATGGATATTATAGTAATAATTGTTGTACGCGTGTCGTCGTGTGGCGGTAGTCAATAACTATAAAGGTTGTGTGTTGAATAATTATGATTATAGACGATACAAATATTTTACAAATAGTTAGATAAAGGAGATTATAAGAGTTGAGCTAAAATGTGAAATAGTATAGTACGAGAAAATATAATAATAAAGGTGAAAATATGACAAGTTGCTAAGTGGTTTTGTATGAATACGGTAATAAATTGCGATATAAAGATTAATCAGTTGAATATTAAATTAGGCAGTTTTAATTATGACAGAAAAAAATATTAAAATGCTTAGTTGATGTGCAAAATTAAATATAAAATGGAAATTAAAATATATCAATACGAATTTACGTGATTAAATAGTATGATAATAAATGATAATTATGAAAATTTTAAAAGAAACAAAATTTTATCGGTTTCTAAACACTAAATGTTATACATAATTTGTATGACATTATTGACTTGTATTCGAGCATGAATACAAAGTTAAGGTTGTTACAGTTGACCTTTTCCATTGACCACAACCTTTATGTTTTTTGGCATCTCGAGTTTGTTGTCATAGTTCGTTTTGCCAAATTTTGACATGAAAGCCTTGATTTATGTCATTCTATCACCTAAAGTCTTGATTATGTTAAATAAATTGTGAGATTTTGAACTAATTTTTTGTTATTATGTTCTGAAAGTGAACGCGAGTCTCTGCATCGTT